TAGTTGCAGTCTCAACATCAGTAGCAGTGAAATCGGTTACATTGTATTGAGTTGTTGCAGTCTCAACCTCTGTTCTTATCTCAGTTACAACATCAGTTGTTGTCTGTTCCAGTGTATGCTTGAATTGCTGTGAGAAAGACATAAAAAAAAATAACATTTGTATTTACATTTCTCGACAAGTTATCAATGTACCTTGAGTCTTTGTTTTTATCGTGCTTGGTACGTATCAACTATACCATCATATCATTCACGAAAAATGCATTGATGCGTAATTAATTATGTAAATTCAAATGTCATGATTTTCCCAATCGCATACATTGCATACATTTGGCTATTTGTCAGTTGATTGTACTCCCTCATTGAATGTCATTGATTGCATTGGTCGAAATTCAAAGTTGCCCTTTCAAGTCCCCCCCCCACTCACTCACACACTGTACGTGTTTTAATTATAAATAAGGCCAGACTTTTTTATTCCTTGTTTCTCGAGTTTTCATAAGGCAGTTTCTTTGAGGAGGGCGGAAAAAATAAAATTAATTCTTTTTTGTTTCCATTAGATTTGTGTGATTCTCAAAGAATTGTATCTGAGATCATTGATCGGAGAGAAGGAATGAAATAAAATTGTATTCCATGTATGACCTTGTTTCTCATCTGCGCGAGACTTCGGTACTTTGATCATGATACTCCCACGAAAATGCAACTTGGGTTTGTTATGCGGCGGGCGGGAAAAAAATGAAGATAAAAATATTTTTTTTTAGCAATTTTTTGCGGCGTTCCGGCGGGCGCGAGAAATTACGCTGAAATAAAATTTTATTTTTATTTCATTTTCGGCTCCTGTTCATTCGGCAGGTTTGCGAAACAAGGGATAATAAAAGTCGGGCCTAAGTACAACTATCGTCTCTGTGGTGGTGATACTGTTTACTATTTGATTTTTAAAACATTTCGCTTTTTTTTCCAGGCGTTGTTAAATTGTGGAAATGCAATTTAATTACAATTTGACCTAATTAAATTGCAATCATATATATAAATGTTATTTATTCACAGGTAAATGAAACTGTGTGTAATTAAAATAACTCAAATTAAGACCGAATAATTAAGTAAATAGTAGAGTTTTGTGGGCATTTAAGAAGTTAAATTTAAACGTATTTATTCTCCTGAATGTTCAACTCAACATTTGGGTGGTATACGTATTGTACGATTGTACAATTTATTTTCATCTCGGCATGTGGTTATCCATATAATACTACGACAAATAAAAGTGAACAAATATACCGTCTTTTGACAACAACTCAATTTCATGAGAATGTATTTTTGAACACATATCCTTTGTCATATGAATTAACATAAAAT